CGTAACGGTCAAGGAGGCGCTAGAAGATCGCGATCAAGTGACGCCGGACATATGGGCGATTAATCCGCTGGCGGGGAGAGCTACAGACATGGAAGGAATGTGAGAAGAAGATGATCGAGATGAAATTGAGGATGTCAGTCTGAATCAACTACATGCGAGAGGCCAAGATCAAGGAACATCGCTGTCGAAAGGTGGCGGATCTTACCTGCCATCAATGATGAGTGTACAGCTTGGGACAGGACATGTGACCGGTGATTCGTTGAACGACAAGTGCGCCGCATCTATGTCGCAAAAAACGGACATGGATCCATCACCTGTTGTTGAAGATCAACCAGGCATCGGATCTGGACCTTACCTGGGACTCAGATCAAGATTATGATGAATGCGTGTATTACCATAAAGGAAGTGATCTATACGCCGAAGACGTCGATGGTCAGATGGCGGTACTGCCGGAAGTACCTGCGACGACGGAAGATGTGAGGATCGAAGATATTCAACTATGCGGATCTGATAATCAAACTCCGGAGGAAATTGAGCGACTTCGCCAAAAGATCTGGAAGTTCCGACATCTCTTGATCGGTAAGGGAAATGCCCTTGCACCGGCAGCTAGAGGCGTGGTGTGTGATATCGATGTCGGGGGAGCGAGACCTATCGCCCTCAAGTGCCGTAAGTTGCGGATCCAGTTCAGGGAGAAGCTGGCAGACCTGATCAAGGGTCTATTGTCTGCCAAGATGATCAACTACTCCAGATCACCATGGGCTTCCCCAATCGTGGTGATCATTAAGAAGAATGGAGTGGACATCAGGCTATGCATTGATTATCGGTTGGTTAAAAGCCTGAGTATATCCAATGCCCTTGATCAACGATCTACTCGAAGTTCTGGAGTCGACACTTTGGTACTGTTCCTTGGACATGGCAAGCGGATTTTGGGTGGTAAAAATGACAGATCGTGCCCGCTTGATCTCAGCTTTCATAACGCCGTTCGGGCTATTTGAATGGAATCGAATGCCTTTCGGCTTGAAGAATGCGCACCAGATCTATCAACGTATGATCGACAACGCGCTATATGGATTCACTCGGATCCCGAAGTCCGAAGATCACGGAGATACTCTGGATGTGTTTGAGGGCGGGGAACCGGCAGATCCAGGCAAGCCATCGGTGCTTGGGCGCAGATCATATATCGACGATACCCTGATACCGGCCAATAACTGAGATCAACTATGTGACCGAGTCGAAAATCTACTCAAAGGTGTGATAAGTGGAATCTTCGATCAGTGTGGTTCAGAGTTTCTAGGGAATGCCTAAGGTGGAATATCTTGGGCATAGGGTCTCGCACAATGGACTGGAGGCAAATCCGAAAGATCTGTCTGCATTGACTGATCTAGCCTTTCCAGGATCACACAGAGCTATGTAATCATTTTTGGGAAGTCTGAACTATTATAGCCGATTTATTGAAGAC